CACCCCCGCACGCTATTTTATTTTAAGTGTTTAAAAGAACATCATAATAGCCCTAGTCTCAACCTTGTTATCCTCGATGGTTTTTTGGAAGAAAAAGTAATGTTTATATTGTTCTAGGCTTACCCAATGAACGCTGATGATCGTGATTCTTATGTTTCAGATCCGCAACTCCAGAATCCAGAAAATCGGTTTCTGGTAGTGATGTTGGTTCACGCCACTCGAGTTCTGACAGAGGGGGAGGAGGAGGAGGCGGCGGTGGTGGCAGCGAAAGCGATTAAATCCAATGGCTGGGTTAAGAGAATCGGCGCAACACGTGGAACGTACACTTTCACTGTTAATTACATATACACGTTTTTGTAAGAGTGAATTTACATATGAAATATACGAATTTTCGCGATATCCCCCAGTACCGGTTCAAACGCGTCCGGCGAGTGAGCAGTTACAACTAGTTGCGCGCGCACATCGACCGTTAATCGTTCGAGATTCCGAGCACCCTTCGATCTCGTTCGATTTTTGAGGTGCACTCGTTCAAAACAATAAGAAACGAACACGGGATTGTTTCGACGTAACAAGATTGTAAATCCACATCAGCTGTAACGTTTTCTTCGTTAATTGATCGCCACTCGTTTTAACTTTATCCAGCTTCATTTTTGGGACTATATTTAAATCGTGACACAATCAGTCGACGTGAAGTAATATTTATACTTTTACGCGGAATTGTCACGATTTCATATGTAAATTGGTTCCGTTTTGCGGACAGACGTTATTCTTCCTCATTAGTGGTCTGTTGATACTTTGTACAATAAACAGATAGTTTTAATCGATATTACACATTGAAGTTGATTATTAAACGTGGAACAGACGAATGTAGCGAATTATATCTTTTCGATTGCGTTAGTCGTCATAATGCAAACAAAATATATTGAGGTTGTATTGACAACGAACGAAGCATCGTTTTCTATTAAAAAATCATAAATAAAAGGAATATTGAAATCAACGTTTCCCGGTGTGTCTATTGTTGGCTGCATGTTTTTAAGGAAAATTTTTAATAGGAACAATGCTTTCACGTGTTTTTTTTTATCCCTTACGAAATACTTTATCCTTCTCAGATAACTCAGGCACACAGTGTGCTTACATACTTCTCGCTCCAACTTTATATCGATCATGCAAAGTACATTATTAACGGTCTCTTAAGGTGAGTGACACACCTATAATCTTCGACAACCCGTTCATACTGCTTTTAGCTACAATTTTCCAGTACCTATTCGCTGACCTTTCGCGTCCTTCCCTTTCTTTGCGTATTATCTGTTTATCGTTGTTTTTATAGGCGCAGGCACCAAACTGCAATGTATTTATATATTACTTTTAACGCCTTCGTGAATTATTCAATTATTTATGGTTACGTTCGTTATCACTGATTTCAATCGGTAAGTAACAGCAAAGTGCGCACTTGCTTAATGCCTTGTTTATGTTTCTCTTTTAAGCGACGCATACAGAAATTGTCCCTAAGATATTATAGAAAAAACAGTGCATTCATAAATTTAGCTGGAACACGAAAAGCATTTTGTGTCAACCATTAATTTTATCTGCGTCGTCTCTTATTTATTCCTTACTTTTCGGAGAACAATCAAATTGTGAAATGTGATTCGCTCAGCACTTTTATCTGTCAGATTGGGTAATCGCCGTTAGGATGGATTAGTTAGACTAGGTAATCATCATTCGTATAACATTTTGAAGATCTTTACGTAATCTGCGCAAAAATAAAATGAACTGTTCATTATTGCTAAATCTGCTATTCCGTTGGAACGTTGGTCTATTGATTCGCAACCTGTTTGTAGAACAACTGGAGAAAACCTGTACCGAGACTGTAAACTGTAGAACGAGAGGCAAGAATCATATTCAGCAGCAGAAATGCTTCGAACGTGAAGCGGTTTAAAGCTACATCCCTTAGGGACATGGAAGTGCGAAAACAGTTTCTCATGTGCCAGATAGCGCGACATTTTCAATGAAACGACGTTCCCCAATCCATTGAATTCTTGTTAAGCAGCTTCATCGGGCCGATACCGGGTCTTGGCGTGCTTTATGCGAAGTTCTTTTCGGAAGATATGCTTAATCCAGAGTAACTGTCGTTCATCTTAGCTACTTTAATCCCGACGATACATAAACTTCAGCAAGCTGAACGATGTATACATCCGCAGTTTATACTCTGCAGTAGTATGACAACAATGTCAGACGTTGCCAAAGGATGAAGCCAATTCAGCGAGTTATATCGCCCGAGGATAACTCGGGTTAACGCGATTGTCAAGAGGAACAACACTACAACTTTGCACATAACCTCTTGTCGAAATTAACTTAAAAGTCTCAAATTTGCCGTTCGTCATTGGTCTGTGCTAGTTACACTTCGAAAAACTATTTGATAAAGTGTTTTTACAAAAGGACTTAGCTTATCTATGCATCGAATGTTATGTTACAAACAACATTATCTGTCTCATAATCTTATATTAACTAACAGTAGATACTTCCATTGTTCTACATTTTTTATAATTTCTAGAACTAAATACAATATAGGTTCGTATGGTTTGAATAGTTTTACATAGTGTCTCGTAATATCCCCACAGAGTGTAGACACCACTTTGTAGACGGTACCGATACTTACCGTTTTGTTATGGCGTTGAAGCCTTTGGGTATACATGATTCATACGGTGCACGTTATATACACAAACTCTGAAATCTTGACCCCGTTTACAGAAGAAGCAGAGAGGTACAAACTAAAAGGAAACGTTGAGTCGGATAAAAAGGACACCGATTTTATCCAAACCGTGGAGGTTCTGGAAGCTCGAAATGTTTAACCTTTCGATTTGACTACAGAGAGTGCGGAGTTACTTACCCGGTTCTGTTTTAGCCGGCAGTCAAATCTCGATTCTCATCTCTCCTCGTCGAATAATCCCTGCCGTGTATACCTTGCTTCAATGACTCCGCTTGATTAAGGTAATTCAATCGTCCCGGATATCTGTGATACGTCCCTTCGTTATATAATTGTTATACGCAATAATCGGGGCTTTCCTCGATTAACTTTTTTTTTCTTTGAACTTGCATTTTCATTTCACCCGAGCTTCTTAAAGTTGGGTAACACTTATCCCTTTCAATTAACGTTATCCCGGCGTTATCATTAAAACAAGAAACATTAGCGACCGAGAAAAAACGTAAAAATAGGTTTCCCTCTCTCCACCTCCGGCTATTTATTACGCGATTTTTCAATTATTCCGACGATGACATCGATTATTATACCAAAGTATACGGAAGTTTCCATCGTGGTGTTTCTTTAATAAAGTTGTATCGATTGTACTGACAGTGACAGAAGTTTTAATCAGGTCCCGAGAATTTTCGCGCGGCAACTTATAATTTATGACGGATATTCGAGAATTGGTAGCTTCCTTGGTAAGTTTCAAGCTTACCGAAGAGAATTATTTACTCTGCCGCGTATCTTGAAACTGGCTGACGGAGTAATAGTCCCGCGAGTAGGAGTTTTGATTAGCTGTGTACACTTGAATGTTCAACTTCCCATCTACCGAGGACATTCCTTCGATGAGATATCCGCAGAGAAAGTTAAAGAAAACAAAACTTGCCTCCCATCGTATCGTGATCTTCTTCTAAAAACTGACAGCTTCACAATTTTTAATAAAACACTACTTCCTTTAAGATACTATTAAATCCGTTTAGACTAAAAACGTTCCAAAAGAATTTGGCCCCGCGCTAAGTTTTTAATTTCCCACTTCCTCTAAGAAATAATTGATTTCTACGTGTGACTTCTTCCGCGAATAATTTCTGTCGAAAATAGAGCGTTTCTCGTTGAGAAAGGAACGGCGTCTATTATTCACCGCGCACACGGTACTCCATTACATATCCGCAGGATAACAATGAGTTTTCGAAATCCTCTGTACTCTTACCTCGTACGACTCCCAAGCTTACGTTCGACCCGGTTTTAAAAAGATGCGGAGTGCAATATTTCTTCTGCACGGAGGGGCTCGGGCGATGTTATGTAGACGTCAGTGACCCACTTGTAACGAGGAGCTAGTAGAAAAATGCGCGTTCCCTTCAATGATCCCTTCGAGCCGGCATCATTTTAAGTATTGCGATGCAGTTTGCATGCTATAACTTCCTAACAGTCTTCCGTCGCTGAAATGTCAACCAATTTCCGTAGCATTGTCGATCGTAAGTCTAAACGTAAAATCCTCTTTTTAGATAACTCTTAAACGATCCCGAATATTTCGATGGTGACTGTGAAATCTACGAAATATCGAAATTCTTTGGTCCCATAATTTAAATTCTCAACTGATATCGATGACATTACACTATCTTCTCAAAAAAATGATTATATATTGCATTCCGTACTTATGTAACCAACGAAATCCAACAGAACAATTAGTAAATGGCCAAAGTACCTTATGTAAAGCGTAAATGTCAGTGTGGTTTCCGTTTACGTCTTGTTATAATGGAAATTGAACGATTCGCGTACTTAAATACTAAGCTCCAGAGGACACGTAAATAGGTACATTTCATTATCGATTTTCTGCCCTCAAAGCGCAGAGTAATACGCACCACTAACATTGAATCACCTTTACGGCGAGGGATAACTATTTCAGGTGCCATTCGGGTTGCACGCTGTTCGTCGGCGCAATATGAAAACACGACCGCGGTGAAGCTGATGCATTAAGTCACGACCGTGCACAAAGGAAAGACAAAAGTTCAAGATGGGAGCGATATCGTCGTCTCGCCGAGAACAGAGGGAACGTCGCTCGGTTTTCACAAGACGCTTTTGCTCAGTCGCGGAAGAATCCACAGCTAAATTCAAGATTAAAACCACTCCGCGTCCCTTTTTCGGGTTTGTGAAAGTTGGCGTTCGACTAGTGTCGAGTACGAACTTAATTACGCGGGAATCAAACGTGCATAACGGTGGAAATTGAAAAGCGGCTGAGTAACGGGACTTAAATTGAAACACCGCGAGCACCGATCTCGATCTCGCTTTTCCACAAGGCAGAGAAATTATGTATTATTGCGGCCTTCTCAAAGTTACGAAGATATTGCGCGTGGAATATGAGATTCCCGTTCCGCTCTCAAAGGTAGGGAATTTAATTGTATTTTGTTTTCCGCCCGTCCTCGAGCGTATCCTCCGCCTGGCCGCTTCTTTAATGAATATCTAATTACTGATATCAAACGGACTTCCGTGTAAAACTGGATCTAAAGCCGGGAACTTTTTCCGCGGTGTCCTCCAACCGGCGGCCGAGCTGCGAAAAATTTAATTGCGCACGTTTCATTTGAATCCTGAAACTCGAAATCTCCTAAATGAACCCTTGTCGCGCAGGATTATTCCGCGGAATGTTTCTGTGTCGAAAACTGAACTGAATTAAAGCTTCCCCGGCTTTCCGAGGAAGTCGGGATTAATCCGACAGAGAGATTCTTCTATCCCGGCTTCCGCAATCGTGAAAATTGCGAAAGGGGTGTCCTGACGAGTTACTTATCGAATGGTCGTAAAGGATAGGTCGATTCCTGCGACGGCTTAACGGCGACAGAAATTACCTGCGAAAGCGTTGCACGTATACCGCGGAACGCATTCAACCATTCAGAATAACCAGACGATGCACTTTATGACACCGATACCATTTACCTGTAAGCAATTCCGGTTACACACCCATTCGCCTGAAAACTTGATACCAGCCGTGCTCGTGCGATTTCACGATGACAGAAAGCTCCACGTTTCTGATTATCCTTTATTTCAGTAAAGAATTATCTCTCTGAAAACGCTCGTCTACGAATGAATTGTTTGTGTGAAAAGTTGAAGTTTGCTGATACCGATAGAGACAAGTGGATTCTGTTGCATTGTTTCTACCGTTGAATACACTCGTAGTAATGATTTGAATAATGTTTCACCGGTTACGATGTTAATTATACATAAAAAATTGGTATTTTTATAATATG